GAAGATCTGAATCATTTCTTTTATTAAAACCTGAACTAAAAATAATAATATCTGTCATATTTTCCGTTACAGATCGGAATCTGTCCTGAGGGGACCCGCACATGTAACAAGATTTGCCGAGTTACCGCCAACGGGCGGGTTCCCGAGGGACGGATATTCCGATATTTCAGATACTTTTACTTGCATATTATACCTTTTCCCATCATATATAAATTCTTAACCTTAATAAAACAAATGTCCATAGAAATTTATGTCATTTAACCCGTTACTTTTTACTTACAACAGCATATTAAATTGCAACTCCTTTCATAACGGCGAAATTACGTCAACATATGCTTAAATACGCCAAAATGACGTCATTTTAACACCTTTCATTGGTAAATACGCTAAAATGACGCCATTGTATAGCTTATCTGGCACCCCCTATACGAGATGAAATTTCCGGGAACACCAGTCTGATATGCAAGAAAATATTGGAGTATAAAATTAAAGAAATGCGATTTCTAAACTAAATAAACATAAATTTATGATTTTTTTTGTTTAATTCATTTCCTTTGTTCATTATTGTATCTTGTAAATGTCTATTCCTTTGTAAACTTAAAGTTTTGCAATAATGTAAATTGTTCTGAACACATGTTACGACCGCAATGTAAATTGTAATTTTATGTGGCATTTATACAAGTTTCTAAATCAGCGAATATAAAAACATAATAAAAATACGACGCATAATAAAGAAGGTCGGATTGCTTCGTTAGAATAAGATCGTATTTCAACAAATGACTTTCTTTATCATTTTTAATGAAAAAAAGAGTAACATTTACAATTTGTTTTATTAAAATCCTGGAAATCATGATTTTAAATTTGCGATTTTCAAGGAACGGTTAATAAATATATTTCACATAAACTTAATGACCCTTACTGTAAAAGATATGAATAAAGTTATAGAATAAAATATTTGTATCACATTTCAGTGATTAAATTCAGTGATACAGTTTTCTTATATGTTTTTTTTTATCTTTTTTATCTTATTTCTTATTATTATATGTTTTAATCAATTCGGATTTTGAGCAACATAAATTGATTTCAAAGATGTATGAGTTAAGCACAAATGTATATGTATTCAATATAATAAACGATGAAATATTTAATATGAGGGTTGGGCGAGTGGAAGAATGAGGGGGCCTTTGGGAAGCTATATTTCTTTTGAATGATGTGTAAAATTTGTTATCGTGACATGTATCGTACCATTCAATGAATTGTGCGGTGTAATGGCATTTTTATATTTCTCCCTATATATTTCAATAAAAACTTAAATTTTGATTCTTCACGAAACATTTAACGAGCATGTCACGAGCATAGATATCATACTGTTATAATTATATTTTAAGTAATATGTAACGAATATTGCACGTCTATTTTTATCACGTGACATGTAACGTGTGTAGATCACAAACTGTTTTCAAGTAATATGTAACGAATATTGAACGCTATTTCTTATCACGTGACATGTAACGAGTGTAGATCTAAAACTATTTTCAAGTAATATTTAACGAATATTGAACGCTGTTTCTTATCATGTTATATTTAACGAGTGTAGATCACAAACTGTTTTCACGTAATATGTAACGAATATTGAAAGCCAGTTTTTATCACGTGACCAATCGCACATTCTCGGCCTTTTCCGTCAAATGTCGATATTATTGATAATTACCGAGATGTTCCGATTGATCACGTGACATGTAGAACGCAGACTATGATCACGTGACATGTAACGAGTGTAGAACGCCAACTGTTATCACCTGACATTGCACGAATTGAAATCTATTGTTATACTCCAAGCATAATTTTAGTGTTATTATTGATAGCGCACATCGGTACTAAATTTGCTCCAGTGATTTCATTTGTATTGTCACATGTGCATGTAAATGGCCAATAAATATAACGTTATCATACTTATGTACGTATTGTAATTCCACAATATATTGAAAATTTTGCAGTTTACAGGCAAACTTTCGACTGATTATATATTGACCCTAGGCTATGCAGTAGGACACCGTGTTTTAAACTAATACGTACCGATTGTCGAAAGTCAGACATTACGCAAAACAGCCGCCATTATGAACACTTTTCGTAGATTGAAAAACAATTTCGTTTTTGTCAGATATTTTTCTCTTCAAGATAAGTTGAACCAATTATATAATACTTACATTAATCGTTTGAATTCATAGCGAGAACAATATCTAACTTACACAATGTGATGACACTTGACTATATAACACGTGATGTTACAACACGATCTTTGCGACACATTGAAGTGCAAAGCAATTCGCAAAAGGATGTGTTTCTTACCAAACATCATTATTAAGCTCATGTGCGGAGACGTTTAATGTTTGTTTATTTATTTATTTATTTGTTTATCTATTTATCTATTTATTTATTTATTTATTCATTCATTCATTCATTCATTCGTTTTGTCAAAATCTATCATCTTCGTCAGATGACAAAATTGGCAGGCAATGGACATAGAAGTTAAGATAGAGGCCTCTTGACCCCAAAGGTCGTAAGTCCGAACTTTTCTTTGGCCACGCCATTACTCATAATTTTACATTTAAAATAAAATTGAAAAAAATATAGTAGTACTGATAAATAAAATATCTTGATTAAAAATTTAATTTCTTTCAAGCATCTCAAAATTTTTTGCAGAAAATTTAAAGGTGCATAGGCTGGGGTTGGGAATGTTGCCTTTTATCATTGCCTTCAAACCTTTAACAAACACTGAGTTAAACGTATTCATTGCTTAGATTCTGTAGCTTTTCGTTCAATAGTGTAAACATTATAGCGAAAGCACTTATACCCTATACTTCAATCAATACTGTTTCATATTTAATAACTAACCTTAACTTTTAATATCTTAGTTTTACATTTAACAGTTTTAGTTGGCTAATCAAGTAAACAATTCTCCTTTTCGTAAATCTTTTCGTTAAAATGTCAATCCTTTCATAAAAACCTCACACTTCAATCAATATTATTTAATATTAAACAACATGACCTTAAATTTTAATATATAACAGTTTCATTTGGGTAATCAAGTAAACTATTTTCCTTTTCTTAAATTTTTTCGTTAAAATGCTAAATTAAATCCTTTCGGTAATTTCCTTTTACTACAATGCAATATTGATGCTCCACGTGCCTCCGTCGTAAATATTCCTTTAATAACTTTTCATTAAATGCAATATTCTCATATGAAAATCTCATAAGCAGCGTGTAACAATGTCATCAGCATCATTATTTACAATGTTGATGCTTTATTTGATTTATATACCATATAATTATACAGTATATGAAATTGGATGCTCTTGTTGTTGACATTTGCAACTAAGCAACTATATTACAGTTAATTACCTCACAGAATAAGCTTTATTACATGAGTCTTTTCTCTTAAAGGCTAAAAGAAACGTTTAGATAAATATACATTTTTGTTTTTGTTTTACCACAGTGGCATTTCTATAAACATAATATATAAAAATTAGAAAGGAACCCTCAAAACATTGCTTAATAACAATTTCCTTTGGTGGCTGATATGTGCTATTTCGTATTTTCGCTCGGCAGTGAGCCAGGCAAAACAAATTTTGGTGTTGATTTTGGTATATGAAAACCACGTCGTGATGTAAAAAAAGATACTGCTATGAAATTGTCATACACACTGTCATAAAACTTGCTCTGTAAATCTATTATGCTTAATTAAAAATAAGCTTAGTTAAAAATGACTTCCTTCAAAGTCAATCTCACTATTCTCTAGGCAACCTATCAAGGGGTCTTCTACGGAATTGCACACTTAGAACTGATGGCTTTTTATCTAAGATTAAACCGTACTGGAGAAATCTTAGTATCTATGAAGACATAAAATTCAAGTATATTGACATCAAGCACTATATAATAGAGTTTTTAAAGGACCCTTTAACGGGCATTTGAAAATAGCTTTTTAAGTAACTTTTCAGATACGTTAACCTACATTTGAAACATAAAAGATTAAAACAGAAGATGAACCTCCTGTGCAAAGCGTTTCTTTTTTTATTCATCTAAGAAGCAAATATATCTTTAATGTCTTTCAATAAATTTCATTTTTTTTATTTCAATATCTGAAACTTGTACTTTAAGACTTTAAATTGTCGCTTAAACGTGAAACTGAATAAGTTCCATTCTCAAGAATTCCATTAAAATTGCGGAAACATTATTTAAACCAATAGGTTACGTTTGTTTTATTATTGAAATGTTATATACTTCTCGCGTATCATGAATAAGCATGTGTCGCAAAACATTGTATGAATGTAATATACCGGTACCATTGTGCGCTAGGCAACAAAAAGCAATATTAAAGTTCGCAAATCGGTAAACGTTTAACGCAAACAATAAATTAACTTTATGAGGATCATTTTTCCTGCATGCAAATGCTTTTCTCTCTTGCAAAAAATTATTACATTGTTATGTTGTGCAATAATTATCGTGAATGTAAAGGGAAACTAATATCTTTGAATCGTTGTATAATTTGCACTGATTCACCACGGCTATATTGCAATACATTGGAAAACATAAATAAGCTCATATTGGTTTCACTTTGACAGATTTTCTCACAAAATGACAGATTTTCTCACACAATGGTCGTGTCACTTGCCCGATTTTCTATTGTATATGATATCAAGAACTGTCATTTTTATGGGTGATTTATAATAAAAGAATGCATGTTATTGGCATATAAAACGGGTCTTGCAGAAAGTTATACGCCTATACCATGGATTTGTCCTGTTGGGTTAATGCATAATACAAATTAGCTTGGTCCAAAATTATACGATAAAATATTGAATATGAAATTGCGTCATAGAAAATAATAATTGTAAGATCTTATTACATCTGGTTCTTTTCTAAATAAGCAAAAACCACTAATCAATACGTCATCTATAGAAAACTAACATTTGATGTTTTTGTTTCTTCTTTTTTTCCAGAACACGGATTTTAAGGATTTGAATGTATTGCGGCGGCAGACAAGATCCGCAGATGGAAATATAGGTATGCATGCTAAACATTTTTTCAGCCTTAGATCTTGTGCAACGATTTTTATCAACTAAAATCAACGCTTAAGATAGATTTGTATATGTCTTAAACTATAAGACCGATGCATATTACTTTTGAGATATATCATCTTGATGGTAAACACCGTAACATCCCGAAATAAAGTAATGAAACGGTAAATCATTCTACTATTGTGTAAATCTTCTGTAATATATATTTAATTTTTCAATTTAATTATTTATAGATATTTTTGTAGAAAACATATCCAACAAATTATGCGACATATTACCCAAATAGTTATTATATCATAACCACTCAATAAGCCTGCTCAACTTCAGTTTTGAAACAAATCTGCTAAGCTACCAATGACAAATTGAAATATGGAAAGTGCCGAAATATGCCGGACAATTACCGAAACATGCCGAAATGCCTAAATACTTAGTTATAATAATGATTATTACAATATGCAGTATCAAAGCAGTGTTACAAAACATGCCTTTCAACTCAACAGAAAAATTGGTCATATACCGAAATATACCAAATTTTTCTGCAATAAGCCAAATGTTAACGGGATTATAATGAACGGTTTTATAGCATTATTTTAGGATGTATACATGAGGAAGTGTCAAAGGTGAGTTAAGATACGTGCTCAACTGGCCAATAGAACTAGGGATAGATATGCAGAAATATGCTGGATTTTGTCGAATTTTATCGAAATATGCCGATTGTTAACGAGATTATAATAAATAGAGGATATTGAATGAGTGTAAGTTCAATACTGAATTCATTGCATGAGTTGAATACAATTATATTATTAATATTATTTTATTCAACGTGTGCAATATATTCAGTAATGAACTTACACGAATTTAATATTCTTTTTAACACATACCAAAAATGAAGACCGTTTAAAGTGAAATAAGAGTCATTTTTCATTGACGCGCCTATAGTATAACACTAACATTCAGAACGTCTTTACACAATGTTTGTATAACGCTAATGATGTCACGTCCAAATATATGCACAGTCGTGCAATACTATATTTACAGAGTCGCAAAATCGGCACGGGTGTGTGATAAACCTTATTATTACCATATTTTAGGGGTTTTTTTCAAATCAGAGAGTAACAATACGTTGCAAACTGGTCAATCGAAGTCGGGGCTTATACCAAAATATACCGAACTTTGCCGAAATATACCGAAATATGCCGATTGTTTAGGAGATTATAAAGAACCATGTTAATACTTTATTTTAGGATGTATACACATCGAAAGAGTCAAAACAAGTGTTACAATTCATGCAGAACTAGTCAACAGAAGTATGGGGCTTATACCGAAACATGCCGCATTTTTACCGAAATATGCCGAATGTTTACGATAAGTAATGAACCAGTTTACAACTATATTTCAGGATGTATACATATGGAAAGTGTTAAAGGGGAATTACAATATGTATCCGACGGTTCAACAGAAGTATGTGGCCTGTATCTTATAGGTCAACCAAACGAGGTTGTTGTTGTAGCATTTCTAGAATTCAACGTTAATTGTGAAACCGGAGGTGTTTTGGCGGTGAGTCGTATTTCTTTTATGTCGTAATAATTACCATTTCTTTTATGTCGTAATAATTACCAATTGTTTCTCTTTTTAAAATATATTAACCTTTTTATCTTATTTCATTATGTCAGTTTACTTTTATTCTGTCACCGCTCTCGAGGGACGATGCATCTTTTTTTCTTTCAAGATTTCTTTTACTCTCACAAAAATCAAGCTTTGATGAGTGTTGTATGGAAACTGTCATTTGTGTCCTATTTTCCTAATTCTGTAAGAGTTACACTCAAAAGATTAACCAAGTCATAACCTGCGACTTTACTCTTTCCAAGCTTTTCTTCTAAATACAAATAAATAACACACAGCTCATTGCATAAGCTTATTAAAACTACGGGGGCATTTTAAAAATCTTAAGAAAGAGTGATCCCTCTAAAGTCCGCTTCCAATGCTTCTATACCAGGATAAATCACGTGACAGTACGGATTTAAAAACCATAAGCAAATTAAGTTTTTAAGGCTGATTGCATCACAACCTTGGTTTAAGAGGATTAAAATTTGTCTGAAATACGGTCTGTGATTTTCAGCAAAATTGTTCAATTACTCAGTCAATACATCTCCGCAGACTAACAACACCCTGTCAAATAAAACCTTTTGGTTTGTCTTTTATATTTTAAATAACAATCATTACTGGTGGATATTTGATCGGGTTTTGATTTCTATATTTAGAAATACAAAATTTACTATACAAAATTGTAAAGAATTTGAATTTAAGAAGTATAGTTGTTCAAATTGAATATGGAAATGTATGGAGTGCATTTAATATTATTCTCGTTTATATATCTTTATATATTTCTTTTATTTAAAGTGCCGCACTTGATTAAAATTAGAATTTTTAGTTTTATATTTTAATGGTTAAAGATTTTTGGTTTAAGGTTTAAGATTTATGGTTTATGGTTTGAGGTTAATGGTTAATTGTTCAATGCATTTGGTTTATTGTTTAAGGTTCAAGGATTATGGTGAATGGTTTATTGTTTATGGTTTAAAAGTAAAGGTTTAAGATTTAATGTTTATGGTTTAGTGTACATGGTTAAAGATTTCTTGCTTATGGCTGTAATGTTTATTTTTAATGATTTCTTGTTTTTGGTTTATGGTTGAAGGTTTTTTGTTTATGGTTTAAGGTGTATGGTTTAAGGTTTCTTGCTTATTGTTTAAGGTTTAAAGTTCAAGGTTTTTGGTTTAAGGTTTTATGATTTAAGGTTCATGGTTTAAGATTTATTGTTTATGGTTTCTTGTTTATGGTTGAACGTGTATGGTTTAAGGTTAAAGGTTCAAGGTTGAGGGTTTATGGTTTGTTATTTCTTGTTTATGATTTAAGGTTTAAGGTTTATGGTTTAAGGTTGAAGGTTTATGATTTAAGGTTTTAGGTTTTAGGTTAATTGTACGGAAAAGGTTTAAGTTTAAGGTTTATGTTTTCATGTTTATGTTTTAAGGCCTTTTGAGTCAGAGAGTTCCGATAAATTCAACTTTGTAAGTGAAGACGTACGTTTTTTTTTTTTTTTAATTTTGTTTGTTTGTTCACTTGTCATAAATTGTATTTTTTCTATTTTGCACACTTTCTTAATTTTCATAAAACAGCAAAAATCAGCAGTCATGCTACTTTTAGAAACGTTGTAATGAATTTTCAAAGCAGGATTAAATTGAAATTTGGCTTAATAACAGATTGAACAGAGAAAATAATTTTCATTGTAGTAATGTCTTTTATCATTTTGTTTCATTTTAAATTAATTTAACGGCAATCAATTTAGAAAAGAAAACTCATTTTTCCGCTTGAAAGTTAAAACATTGTTTTAATAAAGTTGTGGTTAAAGCGGCATTTAGCTTTTAATTTATGTTAGAAAATCAATTCTGTGTTGTTTCAAACTAAGTCTTTCAGTAATTTTATGTAAAGTTTCTTGCTCAATGTAACAACGGATTATCCCTGACTGGGTCCTAACTCACGCGTCCAGCAATCCAAAGAATACTGAGTCAGTGAATGAATAAATGAATGATTGAAAGAATGAATAAATGAATGAATGAATGAATGAATAAATGAATGAATGAATAAATGAATGAATGAATAAATGAATGAATAATTGAAAAGCGTATATAATCCCTCAATACGACATTGATAAAAAAAACTTGACCATCGGTTTACACATCTTTCCTATTTTCTCGTTCTTTTCTTATATATAAGGTTCTTAGTAAATATTATTAATATCATTTATTTTTCTAGACATTAGACGGCTGGGAGCTCCAGGGTGACTTGTTCCCCAGTGAAAATGACCACACCCTCAGTCTGGCAGAGAGGTATCACATGTACTGTGGAGAAACTAGGCCAAAGAAAATATTTATATCTTCACAAAACGTTGCCTTGATACAGTTCAGACTCCCCAATCCAGGCGAGGGATTTAAAGTGTTCGTGAATTTCAAAAAGAATCCCCAACGTAAGTATTCCTATTCTTATATATAACACTTCACGTTTGTAACGCCGTTTTTCATTAATTTAGCTAATCGTGTCGTTTACATAGTTTTATATACACGCCTGCTGTCATTTTATAATGAAATATCACTTTTATCCAAAAAACAACTAAGTTCGCCTCGTATTTTCGTTATAAAGATTCTTGACAGCTAGGTTTTATGGCCATATAACCTGAAAAAAATCTTTATAACTTATAATATAAACACATAATACTGATATAACACGGTAAATGTTGAAAAAAAAAACGCCTACCTGGTGATGGTGTCCGTAGTTTTCTCTCCGGATCACGGCAATAAGCCTTATTGAATTTACAAGAGCACAGTTCAGACACCGCACCGTTACTCGACAGGCTGTCCAGCAGTGTACCAGTACTAGTTGAATTCACTTTCGGAAGGAACTGAAACTTCTGTATCTACCAGAGCAGATATGTACAGTGCGAATGACCGTTGGAAAGATTTCATGATCAATCACAACGAAAGTGACCTGCGCCGTCCGGGAATCGAATCCCGGTCCGTCTGATTCGCAAAGTTGATACTATAAATTCACGAAGTAGAATTCGGGAAGTTGAAATCGTGAATACATGAAGTTGAAATCTTTAATTCGTGAAGCTGAAACAGTTCATGTAAAAATGCATCGAATAAAGTTTGCTTTGACTGATATTATTGGATTTAAACATTATATTTCCAGCCTGTAACGCAGTGGCCATGTTTGATATGGGAACACTTACTATGAAGAATTACGGCTTACGTCGTAATTGCACGACGTCTATCATCTACCCTGAGCAAATTCACATGTTGAACGTTGATGTTGGTGTGACGTCAGAAACCAAACCTATTGAAGCAGAAACCGGACTCAAAGAAACGGTAATCAATTGTTTTTATGTTTGTCTTACTGTAATGCTTTCCCGCCAAATTAAATCTAACATCGGCCAAAATCGTAATAAATCGGCCATTCCAGGACCGTAATGTTTCACAATCTTTGCTATCCAATAATTTTTAATCGTTTACGCACAGGAATTAAGACAGAGCTGTAAAGGATAAGTGATTGTAAATAATCTAATGCCCAAGATGTTGAAAAAATAACGTTCCAAAAATAACCGATTTGCTACGATATAGGCCGATGTTAGAACTTTTTGGCGGCAAAAAGACCCTGTAATGGTCATATGGCAACTTTTCAGCTTTACTGGTTGAAAAACATCTCAGGTGAACATCGGTGCATTATTTAAGGCATAAGCACCGAAGAAGAAACACCGACTTTCTGTTAACTAACTGGAAAACTTCCTTACATGAATTCAAAGTCCGTGACGGGATTAGAACCAACAGCGTTAAGGAATAAGTGATTTAAAACCAACGACCTTAATAGCTCGGCTAAAACGCCCACCTACTCCCCTAAGTAATAGATTTTCTTCTTTGATGGTTTACTAGTTTTTATTTTATATTTTAGCACTACGCCTCCAGAATCACGATAATGTTCAGGGAAAGTTTGAAAAAAGTATTGAAAAGTAAAAGTATTGAGACACGCAGTAGAAATATTGTGATAAATACTCCAAAATCACATTATTGCATAAATCATGAAAATTATTACTTGAATCTTTTTTCTTTTCCTAAAATCTACAATGTTTTCAAGTTTGATTTTCTTTAAATATGTTTGCTGATCTACCACCTCGTGATAAAATGTGACGTCTAAGTTAGACACATCGTCAACGTAATAAGTGCTTCTATATTTAATAGCAGTTATTGAGTTCTTGCACTAAGGTGACGACATGTCCTTTAAGGTGAAGGTCAAACTTATTGTTTATTTATTTGTTGGGAGCTTATTTTTTATGGATTTCGGTCATTGTAACCCACATTTACTTTTTTAAACGCAGTGCATGAATTACGCTGGTGGAGACTATATAGAAGTATTGAATGGTAATGGTTTGGACCCAAGGTCAATGGCAATCAAAGGTACCTTATGTGGAATGGATTCAAATAGCGGTAAGTAAAAGTTGTAGTTGTTTTTTGTTGTATAATATGAACAGGCATCTGTTGCCGTGTATGTTTTGGTCCTTGACTTTGAATTACTTGACTTTTGTTGCAATCAGTTTAAAACCCACAACGAGTATTAGTTTATGCGATATGCGAAAGATATCTTGTTGTCTTATAAAAGCCCGGTGGTTCTATGCGAGTATAGTCTTGTGTTTATTTTGTTTTTTTTACACAGAAGGTATTGCAGTACGGATGCCCTAACAGTGATGATTTTAATCAGTAATATTAGCCTATTGACCTTACTAGCGTTTTTAAGTGTCCATGAGCTTATATACATGCATATATAACCAAAATAGATTGTCCATGTAGCCAAAATAGATAAAATAGATACATGAATATCATTCCACAGCGTTTATTTTATTATTATATTTATTTATTTATTTTATTTATTTATTTTTTTGGTGGGGGTATTTTTTATTATTTCATCTTTAGTTATTATATTTATATTTTATTTCTTTTTTTTTAAACTAGGTTTATTCTCTATCTGGTACTCTGACTTTTATCTGTTATTTTAATGCCCGTAAAATGTTTTCCTCCGTTTGTTTAAGAATAGTCTTGATAAGTCTGACCGGAGTTTGCTCCCCTGAATGTGAGGTGTTCCTATGTGCGCCATATACCTATATAGTAGGATAAGATTTAAAAGGCATATTATGCCTCAGAAACAAATAAAAGGTTATTTCTTTAATGTTAGATGTTTGTTGCCTGAGGAAAAGAGCGACAGATGTAAAATAAATTTGTCAAAACGTAGTAAAATGTAAGCAAAGTAGTATTTTGACTTCCATACAAAATACTTATTCACTATAACTTTACTTATTGCCGAAAAAAGCAACAGATGAAAAGATGGTTCAGTAAATTGGCCAATAAGTATTTTATGGGTACTATAAAAGTACACCAACATTAAAAGCTTTTGAGAAATAAAAGTAAAAACATTTCTGAGGGATAATGGGCCTTTAAGTTATAATCATATTTTATTTGTTGTTCAACAACTTTAATATTTGACTTTCAGACGCTCCAGAAAAGTTTGTATTAGGCTGCCAACATTCTGTAGTAAGAATGGTGTCCAGTGGCATTTTCCACAACACTGTCACATTCCAGTACTCACCTCCGAAAGAAGAGGAGATTAATGCCACCGATATGTGCTAAACGTAAGTGGTTAAAGTGACACGCTTCCAGATATGTCAGTGCATAAAAATGCATTTCTAAAACAAAAAACAAAACAAAAAATAAATTAAAAAAATTTAAAAAATATAACGCCAAAACAAAAACAAACAAAAAATCTCGAGTAAAAAGGTTTATGATGTGTTTTCAAAATTAAGATGAAACTTCGAATGCATTCCCTAAATAAGGCAAAATTTACCGTTCTTACATGCAATTAAATGCAATTCAGGACTTATAAAAACTTCCATATTTTCTGACAAATTATGGGTCGCTTCTGTTATAATAACAACAACAAATGAACAATAATGGTAAAATCATAATTACAACAAATCTGGAGAAGCGTCGTTTTAAAGAAGCTGATATACATGTATAATTTACAAGTCTAATTATATTCGGTAATGTCATGATAATTTGTGTTTTTGTTTGATCTTTATGATTTGCAAAACTGTGACCGGTGACATAAAGTAGCTTTAATATAGAATAAATATAGAATGACCGAAAGTAATGGTCAATGTATTACAGAGATATGTATACTAAAACAGCAACCCAGACAGATTGTGCTCGGCTGTGTCACTCCTATATTTAACTATTGAAATAGTAGAGGGAAGAAAACAACAACAAAAAAACAACAATAACAACAACAAATAAGTTTTTAATCTGTATGAACATAAATTATGTTTAAGTATAGGTTAAAGTTTATTAGTACTTATTTACAAAAATAAATTTTAACCGGCTGAGTGTGTTAAATTATTTTTATAAACAGTCGATTTACTAGACTGATTAACAGTTTGCCGATTTACCAAAGTAAATGTGTTACGATTCATGTGAAATACTGCGATCCTATTGGACAAAAATAATTTCAAACACTTAATAATTTTAACAATATTTCTCTTTTCAAAAACGTTAATATGATTGAAATAAAAATGTAATTTTCACGTTCAAATATAGAATTCGAGAGAATTTTCTTTTTTTTTTGCATCAATTATTTAACAATATCTTTATTCTTTTTTTTTTCGTTTTCAGAGCAAGGCGACACAAGTTATCAACAACATCTACTAGTATGCCATGTTAGAGCACCAATTTCGTTACTTATGTTTAATATCAAAGACAAATATTATAGTGAAAGCTATTTTTTTTTTCTTTTGCAAAAATATGCGAACAAACATTTTCCAATAACAATTGCCTTGAACATTACTGTCACATTTGATAATAATCAAATAAAAGAGGAAATATACTCTATTAAAGTGGCGTGATTTCGTAATTATTATTATTATTATTATTTTTATCATCATAATTATTATTATTATTATTATTATTTTAATCTGACATAGTCAATTATAATGAAATAGTATGTAACTTAACACGCACAGAAGAATTGGATGTTACCAAATAAAGACAGACAGTCAAATACAATACAATACATATACAAATACCCCTTCAAAATGACCAGGACACATGTTCATAAGAAAATTAACTGCATCAAGATCTATCTAATTTTTGCTGATGAGTCCTTTTCGAATTTCAATTTTTTTGTTCTTCACTTGATCTATATAAAAAATTCTAATTTTATGCTTAGGCTAAAAGAAGCTCTTCTAACATGTGTCGTTTCAGCACCAATTTTAGGTAAATATTGAATATCAAATCTGTTTCTTGTTCTGATCATGATACTGATGCCTAAATCTTATGCTTAGTTGACACGGAGCTAGAAGATAAATTGGTTGTGTGTGAGAATAATTATTTCAACGAAAGGGATCGACATATCGAAGCGATGTCCAGAACTATGTCCGGATCATTAAAGACGCAATTGTAAACAACAACAACAACAACAACAAACGGAAAAAAAAACCTATAAAAAACACTTACTTTCGACTAGTAGCGACACCTTTATTGAAAAGTGGACACAGCTTAAGGTCTTTTAGCAGAACTGTGAGCCCACAAGCATTTACCGAACTAAAACCGGAAGCCAAAAGCTGAGGCATTTACCGAATTAAAACCGGAAGCCAGAAGCTAAGGCATTTACCGAACTAAAACCGGAAGCCAGAAGCTGAAATCCGTTTGCGATTCGTTTGTTGTTTAGGACTGACCAGGTCGAGGACAGATATTTATGTTGCTAAGACAGCTAAGCATTTCATTATAAACATTTACGTAACTCTGTACGACTTAATGACAACTTGTTGGTCTAAACGTCTTAACACAATATAAACGAATGAGAAACTTTTTGTAATAGGCGTCCGTTTAAAGCTTCCGTACTGATAAGCTTCCGTGGTGTTAAAACATCTTTTCAAATCGATTTCAAATCATATATTATACACCTCATGATCGCACAAAATCGAGGCCCTTTAACGTTTCCGTAAATATCTTTATAAAAACTCCATCTCATACGTAGTAACATAGATTTGATTTCTTGCAAAGGGTAACTGAAGATATTTCTTGGAGGCTTGCCCGATTACTTTAGGTATCGAACTAGTAATTTAGGGATCAAAAGCCGCGTAGATTCAAACTACGTCAGGGGCAAGCTGTCGTTTCCTTGAGCAAAACAATTCTTAAACTCATGGCTCATTACTTGTTAGTTCCAGGAACGGATTCGATAGTGTGTGAATAATCATTTAGCTTCCTGCAAAATAAATTCTGTATAAAGTATTTGAAGATTAAATATAACAACAAACAATGCAAATTGGTACATTTGTTATAAGTCCTTTTACAGGTCTTTGTCCAAGGGCTTAATCGGTTTATTGCAGTTGTCTAGTTTAGTTTAGTTTAAACATATTTTATTGTATATGTATACATACAAACATAAATTTTCACAATTATACATAAATACATTAATGTAAATATACAAAAGGGTTGGTCCAAAAGTTATAACAACATTATCGGGGGCCCTCCCCTTGCAGTTGTCTGAAGTACAGCAATATGTACAATCATAGTCCAAGGTGATAATGTTGTTGTCCTCAACGTTACGGCATTTGTCGCTGTCAGAGCTTCCTAAGAACCACTCACGGTAGCAGGTGTCAAAATTGCCGCAGCTGAAATATATATGTGTTTATTTCATAGTTTATATAATATAATCAATGGACCGTCAGCGTTTGCACTACATGATGTTCTATTGCAAAATAAAATGACATATATTCTTTTCATTGAATATTTTAAATTTAATTTATACGCGTCATAAATGTAATTCAAGAGTGCTACAGTCATTGCGGAGTTTTTGGTCCGCTTGGACTTGTTGTTAAAAAATACTTATTAATAATCTATGCATTTACATAATAAGGTAAATAAAATAAAATTTGCGGACAGAGTAGAAAGCCTGAAAAGCTTTTGGAAATCAGTATGTAACAAATTTTATGTAAGTGGTAACAAAATATTCAATACATAAACTAAACTATACATATCATATCGAATTGTGCTTGTTTTTTACATATACATACTATCTTTATAATAAGTATTCTTGATCTAAATTCAAGATTCATTACTGTTCAATTTTAGGTATAAGCACGAATAAGCATTTTTGTAAGGTAAGCTCGGACTTCTCGCGTATAAAGTAAAATGTTTTGTGTACACTGCAATCTCAGCATACCATATACCTCTACCAATTTTAGTAAAGTAAGACTTTGGACCAAAATAAACCTTTTCCAGGACGACTTTCTTTCTTAAAATGAATCTGAGGGTCTTATGAATGGAGATATATTGTCGAAAACCATTATGTCGTGTACCTTTGAACGTGATTGTCACCATTGCTACTACATTTGGTTTTACCACAAATAGACTTACCAACATATGAGTTTTGGACAAGTCTATTCATCAATTTTAGGGAAGTACTTGCAAAATGGATGTAATTGCGGATATTGGTCTAAAATGATCGCATATTTTCTATTGTTTTCTTTTTTTACACATTTAATACATTACTATATAAAACACAGTATCTTTTATGTTTGTTAATAAAGTTATAACAACTTTAGCTTGATATCAAAACAGTTAAAAAGTAGGACAATGACTTGTAACACATTCATTATCGCCGACACACTTTAGAAATCTGGAGACATTTTGCTCTACTTAATCTTCTTATCGACTAAAAAGACCGCCACTTGGCTTACATTTAACATGATTGACGGTTATTTCAGATTGTCTGTGCTATTTGACCTCGACGGCCTGTTGCAAATATAGTTGTTCCCAAAGACAATGCCAGTGAGAAAACATTTAATGAGAATACGATACAACTGATAGTTTTAACGATATGCATCTATTAGTATAATCTTTGTCGGCAAAATGCCAACACATTTTACAGTGTGTTTGTTAGCTTTTTGGGGGTTTTACTCCGATTTTTAAACACTTTTTAGCCATATTTCGGCAGTCAATTCACTTAACCGGCTTACTTGGATACAGTAATTATCAATTTCTCTGCACATGGCCTGCTCCTTTTCCCACCTGTTTTATGAATCAGAACTGATAGACAAGTAACCAATAGACTCCATTTCAAAGATCAACTGTCCGGAATAAATACACAAGAATAAAATCAGAGATCACTGGATGATCCGGTGCTCTCCCTAAAGAGCTAAGCGGATGGACTTTTCTGATTTATTTTCAAACTTTATTAAATGCGAAATAAAGAAACCATGTTACACTGTTGGCAACAATACTAATTATATTGGATTCATAGAAAACTGCAAAACCTATATCGGACTCGGCTATCGACTCGACCAAATATAGATCTGACAGCTCTGCTGTGTACTCGTTCAATAGAATTGAACTCAGAAATTCATAATAACAATTGGATGCTTACGTGAATCATTATATTAACAGTAGGTCCTTGTTTGTCAGTTAATCTTCTAAATATGGTGCAGAAGGCTAGATTCGCATTTTTACATATATTCAAAAGCCTCTTAGGAACGTACATTCCACTTAGATAAGTAAGGATCACCAGTACTTGGAAAAAAATAAAATATATTTTTTGAGTAGATTGTTTCGCAAAAAATCAGCATGTTTTCAATGAAAAAAAACAAGTATTTATCAAAAATATGCAGTGAAGACATAAACTACAGCGAAGGAGTTTAACGGCCTAAAATATAAAGACTGCAAATTAAACATATCCGATAATTTTCGTAAAATAATTATATATATTTATGTGGGTCACTGTAGTAATTGATTTTTTAGGTAACGTATATTGAAAAAATTAATAAATTAAATACTTTAACTATATCCTTCATTTTATGTACAAACGCATTTTGAACGCATATACCAGCATTGTGCACCGACGACTGTCTACTGCTGATCGGGAGAAAAACATTTCAATAAAGCACAACATACATTTTTAGGTTTGATATTATCATGACACAATGATAAAATTTTAGTTTAATTCTACACTTACTAGACAGTATAACTGCGTGTTTCATCTACTGAAATAAATCTTCCAAGGCAATATTTATGTTCACAAAGTATATGTTATCAACAATCTATAAACCATTCTTTACAGCATCACTTCATCACTTCAAAAAAAAAATATGATTGTTTGTCATGTCATTGAAATATTTTATCTTCATCATGTTCTTGGATTTCTTTTCTTTACTACACAGAATGATTTTCAAAGGGAGTGCTTGTTTTGACATCTTAAACTTGATATAAATTACATTACAATTATTGCTTTGGCAGTAATTGTTAACAATCACTAAATATTTGATACCAGAAAAACAAAGGTATCTCTTTGACATAATAGCAACAATTTTCATTAATTTATTTCTCAAAGAAGTACCGCACGTAAACATTTGTTAGTAAACCAAAGATATTGGTTGAAGGATTTCATTTATTAACCTTATAAAAGGGAACAATTAACATTTCTGTCTTTTTGCGGTGGTTATAAATAAAGTAACGCTGAATCTGTTGACATTAGGGTATTCATGTGTACTTCAATTTTCAGAAATATCAATTGTTCGGAATAAAGATTAAGTTTTTCATATGAAGTAACCTAAATTCACCTTACCTATACAATTTAATCTGAGTAAAGTACAATTATAACAAAATGTCAGTTTAAAAAGTATATGGATCACTCATTTGTACAAGTTCTTAATACATATTTATTATTGATAAGGATGTTGGAGCACCAAACCTAATACCGTATCCCAGTATATACCGAACAAGGCTCTTGAATGATTATATTCTAAAATAACACATTTTCACCGGCTGAAATGCTCTTTTAAATTTAAACGTCAAATTTATCTTTTCACACCGATTTATAAACATGAAATATAATGAA